AAGAGACTTAGGCTACAATTCTTTTACAAATCAAAAGGGAGTTTGTACAGATGCATTTATTATCCTGAAACAGAGATCTCAATTCACGATGTCCAACCCTTGTGTTCTATTCTAAAATAGATGCTCTAGTTTTCAGACAGTGATCATATTTTCGTTTCAACTTAACTGTGTGTAACCCAGTGTAAAAGTCTGGATGAGAATTCCATGGTAGATTAAAAATGTACAGACTACCTTATTTATTTTGAAGCCCCATATACAGGGGGCTAAGGAATCCAAGTGATAAATTTTAATGTTTCTGTCCTAGCAAAGCTGTTGCAGGAGGTAGCAGAGACTTTGAAGAATGCAACTAGAAAATAAAGAGGAAACTGCATTGGTAAAAATCAAGCCACCATACTCATGATGAATTTCTCATGTAAAATTTACATTTTCACAAATTTGAATAAATTGACGTAGTTTAAAGGCTGAAAAACAACTTGGCATTAAACTGCCACTGCACACAGTGAAATCTGACAGGTCTCCTAATTTAGGATAGACAGCTTAACTTGGCTCTCACAAACAGGATCTGTGGCTGCCAGCCGTAACAGCCGTCCAAAGTGCCAGTCCAGCCTCACGGCCAGAGGAAGCACCAGATCATCTCTGGTTCCCTTTTAGCCCTGACTCTGTGCAAACAGATCACTGCCCACCAATAGCAGCAGAGCCAGCTGCCTGCTCAGGACAAAGCTGCGCACTCAGGAACAGCTGTTGCGAGGAGTTGAGAGGAGCCAGCACTTTTCAGTATAATGGCATGAGATTGCAGATGGCTATCTTCCACTCTGCCATTATAAAGAGGAAGGAGCTGTGCATGAGAACTTCCTGTTTTGCTGTCCTCCATCAGGACAGAACATAAAGGATTAAAAGCCTCTCTGAACTTACTATCAAAGAGCTCCTGCAGCTGAACTAGATTAGCATCATCATGTTGGCATTTTTATTTAATGCAAGCAGATAGGTAACAATGAGGGAAGGCAGAAACGATCTGTATACATTTTTTGATGCTGTTTTATCAAGAAGTTGTTTTTAATCTGTCTATACTTGCTGAACAAATACTTCTTTATCAACACCGTCTTATTTTCATATTGCTCTCTCCCAGGATGGAATGAATTCAAGATGGGTTAAGGTTTCCTAGCTGTGCAACTCACTGCCATTTTCACACTGCAAAGTAGGAGAAATGTCCTCAGGTGGAAACAGAGACCCTTGGTATTGAAAAAGCTGATCAGCAGTATGCTCAAAATGACATATATAATTATGCTCTCTATCTTTCAAAGTCCAATCCATTTTTCCTGATTCTGGTACATGTCACTTTATTATGCAGTCAACGTTCTCTTCTTCCTAGTTAGTTATTATAACATTCTTGTTGGCTTTTGATTTTTGTTGATGAAAAGAATGCTGTAGTCCTACTGAGAGAAAAAGATGCTATCTCTGCTGTAGCCAAGACAGGATGCATCAATGGCTTTGAAGGTTAGAACCAAATCTTATACTGGAAGCAAAATGAGAGACCAAAGCAGGGATCAGAGTTCAAGAGTGATGCATGTCAGACAGCATCAGATGGGCAACAGGCATCCATGGCAGGAAATGGCTATAAAGGTAAAAAACCTTTATGGATGCTTACAAGTAGAGTGAATTAATGGTTATAAGAAGAGAATGTAAGCTGAGTAAAAGTGTTTCTGTGTCAACATTTTGCTTTCTTGTTTAAATTTATGCAATTCTACTGGATTAATTTACCAAAAAAAAAAAGATACTAATAGTAATACTTTTTCAAAAAATAATTCTTATGCAAGACATACCTGCCCTTTGCACCTCAAAGCCTCAAACTGCCAAATAAATTTTCCTTTCAGATAGCTGAAAGTAAGATCAGTTAATGTTTTACTCCCACCCCTTCAATTTTACTGAACCAATTTCAGATTTATTTTGCACAAGTAGCTGCAATAACTTAAAATTTCTTATAAAGGATTAATGATTTGCAGTATATAGCCCTAAAAGTCTGCATATATGTATGCTATTCAACTGTTTGTCACCAAGGCTCAGAATCAAGGCCCCCTTTAACATAACAAAGAATTCTTTGAACGTGTCAACTTTGATATTCACACTGTACGGCTCCTGGCATGTCTGTTTCAGTATCTGACATTCATGGTGATGACTGACTCCCAGAAACCTGCAGCTGAGAGGACATAATGCTTTTCATCTTTTTAAGCAGAAAACAACAACAAATTAATCCTCCCCAGAATCCTGTGATGATGGAGGTGGAATCATTTTATGCAGATACAAATATACCTAAACGAACATAAGGTCAAAGTCACAGCTGTAGTCAGTCTCATATTCAAGATAAGTATTCAGATCTTAACTCATATCCCTACTCCTACCTCACATACATAGCTGTGGCATGCAGTACTGTGCATCTTGTGAACAATTCTTTTGCCTAAAAATTACAGTTAGATGTGATAAGAAAATTTAGGGGTCATATGGACTTACTTTTCCAGCAAACAGCACATATACAAACTGTATGAGTTCACACTCTCATATTATGTAAAGGAATTTAAACCACGATTTTATACAGAAAGGAGAAAAAAAAAAAGTCTATAATCCTTATGAATAGGAATTAAAACATAGTTGGCAGTATTTGCGAGGTAGTATTTGCTTTGCATTCCTGCTGTTTATTTATGCAGTGCTCAAAAGAGCTTTACATATACAGGAGACCATATTTATGGGAAAGATTTTATAGAACTTCAATTTCAGGTCTTCTTTCCAGTCACCTCCATAATATATAAACATTATTGGAAAGACTCAGAAGGTCAAAACAGCATTATAAACGAGGAGAGAATACTGAAATCTCGTCATATACTCCTTCCTCCAAATTCTAACTGTGGCAACCTGGGTTTCAAATTAATTCAGTGACAAAATTCCTACTGACTTTTAGCAGTGAAGTCATATGTTCACTATGCCTTTTACTGTGTTTGTTTTTTTTTTAAATTTAACTCAGAATAATCACAGTTCACACGACTGTTTATGTCTTAAATAAGTTGTCATACTAAAGTAAGCTGCATTTCCTAGCTTTCCTAGTGAAATTGTGAACTAACTCTGTTACAAAGTCAGGAAACAATTATTCTGTGGGCTGATTTTGATCACTAAGTTCATTTAAGCATTTCTCCAAAGTGAAAATGAGCAGCACTTTCATTTAGAAGGTTGGAGATATTACAGAACAAAAAATAATAAAAGATTCCATACTAACAGTGCTTTTATGTTCCTTCCAGTTTTGGAAACGGCAGCGCTTTACTCTTAAACTCCAGATGGCACTGCAGTGCTTATTATTACTTACTTGGGTGAGAACTGGATTGGAAAAATGCAAGTTCCTGAAAAACAATAGCTTTCTTGTTTTAAGAGAAATCAGCTGCTAATAGTTTTCCAGTGCAGATGGATATTTTACTTTCAGTTTTATGAATACTGGGATAACAAATGGCAGCTTATGTGCTGGAGATAGGACTGGTTGTGTAAGAAAGACTCACTTGTCTATGTTTGAATGAAGTCACAAGGGTAGTAGCCTTTTCCTCACCAGAGGAACACACGCTATTGCTGTGAACAGGAAGGGCTATGCAACAGCAGAGATTCTCCATTCATTCCCCAATTGATTCTATCAATTTCTGTATAATTAGTTTGAAAAAGTGGATTTACAAAGATGGAGTGCAATCTGCTAAAATAATGAGGATATCAGTAACTTCTTCAGGGAAAGTCATTGACTTTACTGTTTGGAAGATACTCTTTGTCATTTATCAAAGTTGGCACTTAGAATATGGCAAGAATATTTACAAGAAATAATATTCTTCCTTCATGTTCATTCTTAGAAATATTTAGGAGTATGATGTTTGTTTGTTTAATCACATACTCATACTGTTTACATCCATACTACATCCATAATAGCTCAATCTTTTCTTGCATTACCATTTCTTAAGACTAACCCACCCGCCCCCCCCTTTTTTTTTTCTAATGATCTTCTCAATTCTGCCTGTCACCTACATCCTTTTAACTATCTAACTTTCACTCCTGTTCTCCACTGTTGTATAGAGTAATTTCTAAATACTTGACCTATGGACCCAGTTAAAGTTCACAGCTCTCACTGGATAATCACTAAACCTTGGCACAACCCAAATCTAAATAACATCACTGTTTGTTTTGTACACTTCATCTGACAGGATTCTGGACTTGTTTCCCTCTCCTGTAGGCCATGATATCCTACTGCGCTCTGAGCAAAACACTTCATTTCTCTGACCTTCACTTTTTTTTTTTTTTTTAAACTAAGTAAATCTTTTCATCCAAGTTAATGAAATGATATCAAGATATGTAGGAAGGGCAGCCTATTTTTAATACATTTTCTAGCACAGATGACTATTTCATTACAAAAACAAATTTAAGAAAGATGAGATCAAAAGACAAAAAAAAACAAATGTGAGAGAGACGTGACTGTTTTAAACAGGCAGGACCTTAAAGTAGTCGAGGTTTTCTCTGAAGCACCATGAGACCCTTTCCCAAATGCATCAAAAATGCAGTCCTTAACAACACCGTCAATGGTCAACACACACGCACACACTAAGAAAATCCTCAAGTCCATACTAGACTCATGCAGTACTAGTGCACTTGTCACATGAACTCTGCTACATTAGTAGCCATAAAATCACACAAGGCAGAGTGCCCTGCGTGACTTGATAATGATGATCCCTCTGAAAGCTTGTACAACACCTACTTTTGCCCACAGCTGTGTAGCCATTAATTTTTTCTCCTTCCTCAAAGTTGCATAAGAATAATGGTGGCTCCTGATAGCGTTGCAGAGAGCATAGCTGAGATATTATCAGCCCGCGTGACAGAAGATATAAGCACTTCTTTGGAAGCGTTCATTTCCATTTTAGGTCTACTAAATAAAACTCAGAAAGTGTCCCAAAATATTTTTAATTCTAAATAAACTTTAAGAAAATTGCTCCCTTCAAATTTATATACATTTTATTTACACATTTTGCTTCTGAATTGGTGACATTTATATGTAATATAAAATCTGTTCCTTGTATGTACAGGAAGCTGGAAAATACCATGAGAGTTACAATAACAAATGGGGTTTAACTCAGCAGACACCAGCATTTTCCCAGTGCATATTCTTGTCACCCTCTCTCATGCAGCAGAACAACATCCCCTCTTTCACTATGGGCAGAAGGTGAAGGAAGAAAATGGAAGCAGGCCAAACTTGCTTCCCTCAAGCTTTTATAAAATATTCAGTGCACTTTCCCATCTCACCTTCTCAAACTGCAGCATATGTTGCAATGATGTGTCTGGCAGTGTAGGAAGACAAGCTCTTCAAAGCACCATCAGCAATGTACTGTTTTGAAAAAGATCATGGGAGAGGAGTACCTCTCCAAATCTAATTATGCAAAACAATGCATGTTCTAGATACCAGATTGCCAAAGTTGCTAAAGCAAGGTGGATCCCTCATACACCTTCACAACTATTTGCTTACTGGAACAGTTTTGGTGTTGACTTGTCTTGTGTACTTCAATGGAGCTGCACTTTATTTTTTATGGTTTTATTTTATTTTAATTATTTTTTTGCTTTCTGTGGCCACATCACACGCTCAGAAAGATGCCAATTTTAATAAGTGGTACATATATGATGTTGGCTTCTAATCTACTGAAAAACAATTAGCAATCCTTTGCTTTTCTAACACAGTAACAACATGGCCTGCATAGTTTCAAGGGTTTTAATGTCTGATGTCTTTTGTGATCATAATCTAAACCTACTCTAAACCTGTTCATAGTTAACTTGGAAGATGTTGCAAAATTTTAACTAATGCATTTTGCACAACACAGATAGCAGACTGTACCTGAGAAAAATGAAGAAGCTAAATGGTACTGTAGACAGTACAGCCCTCCAGAACTGAAGCAGAAAAATTAAACACTGGATGAAACACAATGGAAACTGGTTTGCAGAAGAGTAGGTCAGTGTCCTAACTACTGCCTTGAGAAAATCAACTCTGCCAGTTCCTTCGTGGGCCATCTATCCCTCTCCTTGCCTGCGAAGGAAAATGGTGCAAACTTTCATAAGTGTCGTCTTATTAATACTTTCCAAATCTTGCCTCTTTTCAGTCTTACATTTCACTTTTTATGAAATAACATACAATTCAAAGCCAGTGAAAACTGTACTTCCTAGAGATGACTCTAGAACTAGGCATTTTATTATTCTGGAATGTTTATATAAACAAACCAAAGAACGGAACTTAGTTTTTCCACTTTAGTTTCAATCTGCAGTATTTGCCTTTTCTATTAAAAAATCTGTTTGCACACGTTCATTTCTCTCTGAAACCTGTTTTTGCAGAAATATCGATTTTGGCTTTTACATTTTTCCACCGATTCTTTTCCTTCCTCCTAAGGGAACAATTCATCCCTCTCTTTCTGCCAAAATGCAGTGATTGCTAACAGAGCTGAAATTTTTTTAGAGTACCTTTTTTATTTCAGTCATTTATATAGCTAGATTTATAACACTCCTAGGATAGTGAAATGTTCACATTTTTAATAGAAAAACAAGCTAAGGCTGAAGTTTCATTGCTTATCACATTAAACACACAAACTTCAACTGCTTCTCATTTTAGCTCATTCTCAAACTCTCTACTAAAATTTTTATTACTGATCATCTTCATTATCACTATGAAAACAGTGTCTTCAGTGCCTGATGGCAGAGATCTTGCTTAGACAAGGCGAGCAGAGGTGCAGGCACTGATTTTTTCTCTGGGGACAGAAACAGGACCTGATGGAGCAGCATGGAACTGCACCAGCAGGAGATCAGGTTGTGTGTTAAGACATGGTTCTTCAACAGTGGGTAAGTTGAGCACTGGAACAGGCTTCCCAGGGCAGTGGTAATGGCCCCAGACTGCCAGAATTCGAGGAGCATTTGGACAACAGTCTCAGACACAAGGTTTGAATTTTGGGTAGTGCTGTGTGGAGCCAGGAATTAGACTGTGGGCCCCTTCCAACTCAGGATATCCTGTGACCTTTTTCACTTGAAAATGATCATCACCCTGTCCATATTTCTTTAGGTCTGAGCTGACATTTCAAACATCCCATCCAATTTTCTGGACCAAACAAACCACACCATTTTCCAAAATTAATCCAAAGAAAATAGCCAACCAAGGGAACACTCGGTTCAAGTTCAATGTAACTGCAAAAGAAAACAAAACAAGTTTATGAATTTCCACCTAAGACCATAGAAACAATGTGAGAATTCATACTAATTTGTATGCCTAAGAAATCACACAAATCTGTTAACACATGCTTTCCAAAGCTATGCATAAAATTATTATCAAACATTCATCTTCCAGACACACTCTACTCTGTGTTTTGATGATCCACACTGAAATGTCTCAAACTGTAACTTATGGATCTGATGGCTTTAATGCAGTATACAGAAAGAGATGATGCTAAGTTGTTTCTTTAGCTCGCTTTATATGAAATCTAAATATCATCACTTTAGGCTAGAGCTTTCTCAATCACACATCTCATATTGATTAAAAAAATATAACAATAGAAATGACTTATCTATCAGCTGCATTTTCTCACACATTGTATACAAATAATACAGTAACAAAGCAAGAACATACCTCTAATTGCCTGAGAGTTTGATATCAAGACAAATACTTTTATAAACACAAGGCACAAAGGTGTGTAGTCATGTTCCCATATAACAGCTGGAATTAGCAAAAGCTTTCCATAGCTGGACAACAGTAATGCCTTGAGAAGTAGAATGAAATCAGACTTCGTTTTTAGCATCTTGGGTCTCCTCCACCACAAGGCAATAAAGATGCCAACCAGAAATGAAGTTTGTTCTAAGAGATAATAAGAGAAGTTGGAAAGAGAAAATGAAGCACCAAAATCAAGTCATTTTTGATACTTCATAGTGAAGTGACACTTCTCTAATGCACCTGGGCCACTGCTATTTAAAAGACACATGCAAACACGATCATGATTTGCATCTCCTTTGTTCATTTTAATAGTAATACATTATTACTACTTAAACCAATTCAGCATTATTACATTCAAAATAATCCTATTGCAAAATTCTGCTTGCAAGACTGTCATACTTGTAATTTCTAACATCATGCAGCACAGGTACATGAAGCTCTTTTTAACAGAAGGTGAGGTTTTTGTTATTTTCTGTTGGGTATTTTTTTTAAATTCAAATTGTCTGTTAGCCAGTAAAACAGAGCCATCAGTACATTTCCTTTCTGAAAAGGTCCCCAGAAATGAACTCATTCATTCAGTATAAGGACAAATACTAAGGTGAAAAAATCATTGAGCTATTCTTCATACCTTCTCCCTGTGTAACACTGGAACTTATGCAGACATCAGAGCAACTCTCATGACAGCTGTAATAGCTGAATTACTACTGAAATACAAGTTCCAACATTTCTGCTGACATGTAATGAAAACCTACTAGAGCAACATTAGAAAATAAACGATTGAAGTTAGATTCTCAATGTCTAAGGGAAATATTAATTTTTGTCTGCATGTTTGATTTAAAGAATGTCACCTGGAAAAAAAAATGAGAGAATAAAAGCCTTAATGAAAATAAAACAAAAAGTCTCCCTGCCTCTGACTGTAGTCTTAGAATAGGAATATTCTAAGGAATATTCTTAGGAATATTTTCCTTTGTTTGTTTGGTTTTGTTTTCAGAGTTGTCTTTCCTTTTTCCATAAACTGTAAGCAAAATCCTACGATAACAAAGCATCTCCCCATGTTACATATTGACTTCAAAATGAGTAAAACCAACAGGGTCATTTTAAATAGATTAATGTAGAAAGAGGAGCACTCTCTATTATGAGGAACACAAGAGGCAATATATCAGGCAAGAGAATGAGGCACAATGTAAACTGCTGAGAATGCTAATGTGCTTGAAACAATGATCATATATAAAAACAGTATCTGGAGCTTTGCACCTTGGAATAAGGCTGAGCTCTATGCTAGTCTTCAAGCCATTTAAACAAATTAAGACTGTTCTTTAAATAGTGATTTTTCAGTGATTTGATGTCAAATGCTGATCATGTCAATCTGAATATCATATCTGTCTGAACTGTAATCAAGTTTGAAACATGAATTCGTAATGAATGAAGGCAAATTAGAGAATGTGTGCATAATCATTTAGCCATGCTGGGTTGGACATGACTTCTACTCTATATTACTAAATCTTGCAATGCAGATTTGCTGAAAGACTTATGAAATTATTGAATGCTTAAGAAGTACATTTGATAGTTACATGAAATAATTATTGTTCTTACCTAAAGAAGCTATAGCAAACATTCTATAAAAATCCCATTCCTTGGCATATCTGATTAAGTCATCAGGATCTGTACTTTGGCTAGAATCCTGGAGTTGCAGCCACCTCAGATAAGCTTCACAGAGTAAACAAAATATGTAGAGCTTCCCATGAAACTGAAAAATGAAAGAATAATAAAACCATAAGTTAAAGCACTAATATTTAATAAGTATTTAAAATACATCCCTATATCTCTAAACAAACAAGCTCTGAGGATTTTAATATCTGTTTAGAAATACAAACAAATTATTCTGTTGCATCCCTAGTTTCTCAAATAATCTTTTTAACATCGATTCACAAGATAGGAAAATTAGAGAACGTAGAAAATTGCATGGAAGAAAGTACGTGACCATAGTTTGCAAGGCCTATTTTCTAACTTTTTTTTTTAACTGAGAAAGCTGTTTCAATTAGAAATATAAAAACAAAACTGTAGCTAATAGTCCTTTGAGATTTTGTGTGTTCTATTCACAATGCTAGACCCTTAATCTGGGAACAGGATTGGTTCACCTAGCTGGTATCAGTGGAAGGGAACAGACCCTGAAGTTTACACCTATTCCAACCAATGTATTAAACCCAAGTATTACCTTTAACCTAAAAAGTTACAAAGTAGGTGCATAGCAACTTACATTAATCTTTGTATTGAAAAGAATGTGTCTGTATGCTTGTGCTTTACATAAAATTGCATTAATCAAGATGATGACAGGATCATACTCAATGTATTTATCCACAGGTTTCTGGCACGATTTCTGAAAGTCACAAAATAACAAGAATTAGAAAGAAAAGAAAACAAGAGTTCATGAAATGTTCCTGAGCTTAGCACAAAAGCATAAATACAAAGTAGCCATTCAATTCTCATTTGTTTGTCCTTAATGTAATCTTTATTTTCAATTGATTTCTAATTCATCCAGAAGAATTGCTTTTTTACCCTTTGACATTACAGTCAATACAAGCATTTCCATTATAAACCAGAAAGATACACCACCTATTTTTACAGACTTCAGATTAATACAGATCAACAAACTATGAAGGATGTGCTTATTTCATTCATCATTTACTTCTTTCAAAAGATATGTTTTATCTTCCTATCCTACCTTTTTCTTCCTTTCAAGAAATAAAAATATTTTTTTCCTGTTGCATTGTTCCTCCATGCTGATATAGTCCAGTGTTTCAATTCATTTTTTATTATTTAACAAACAAATATTAATGCATTTAGAAAACTTGAAATGTAGTCTTCACACACAGATATAGCTGAAAAGTCAGAAATTGCCACTGACAGGTGGTAAGACATGAAAAAATATACTTCTCCAATGCATCTGTTGGTTCCTGCTGTGCCTACTAGAGGTTATTTCACCCAGCCCACTGGGAATAGGTTGTCATCAGCCGCTTCAAACTTATGGACTAGCCTGGATGGGTGCCCTCTCCTTGACTTGAGCTAATGAGAGGGGGTAACAAAATTACCTTGTTGTACTTGTGATCAGAACAGTCTTAGAAAAGGCTGAACCAGCAGACCCCAGAGGAAAATTGCTTCTAGGGGAGAGCAGAGGAGTAGCAGCAATTGGCCACAGCAGCCACTTCAGCTCAAAAAGGGGCTCTTGCAGAAAGCTGCATGTCTACAGGCCTGCTTTCTTCTGCTACCAATCCTCCAGCTCTGCAACTTGCTTTCTCTAGCTTGTCCTGAGCCAATTCATTCCACTCCCCCAGGCCTCCACATCAGCTGTCATGCTCAGAGTGCAGAAGTCATAGAGTGATCTCTATTTCCATTTTAATGAGCTCACTGCTGGAACACAAATCCACACACAGCAGCTTTCTGTAACACTGCCACAGTCAAAAACGCAGCATGAGATAACATGAAACTACAGGCAAGCTCCACATCAATTTGACAGTGATTCCTTGTGTCCAAAGTTAACTTTGCCTTGATATTTATCAGAATTACTTTCCGAAAGGTTAAGCATGCAAAAATTTACCAGCAGATTGACTTAAAAGCCTAACATCTATATCAAGAAAAACATTTGAACAAATGAATAAATTGAATAAAGCACCTGAGGAATGCTGCTACCATTAATTAATGTTTCTTCATTTGGATGAGAAAATACTAAGTACAATGACAGTGACAAAGTTAGAAGGAATTAATTCAAAAATAGATGCATTAACCAACAGTTTGATGGATCTAAAACTGAAGCCAGATGGATGGAAGAAAGGATATAATTAACAAAGAAGACAACAGTTACAGCATTTAATAAGCAAAAAATCTACCACAGAAAAAACTAACTATAACTGAAGGCACAGAGAGCAGAGCTCAGTGCTGCACCTCTGCTCCCTGTGAGGAGCTGCAGCCACTATAAAGCCTCTCCTCAGCTTCTCTGCTCTGGGCTGTACAGACCCAGGGCCCTCAGCCACCCCTCACACACCTCACCCTCCAGGCTCTGCCCCATCTTCTAGCCCTCCTTTGGATGCTGTCTGATAGTACGTAGGAAGGAGACTGATACAAACGAACACACAAGCAGCAGTATCACCTGTAATATAGATCTAGTGCTGCACAGCTACAGCCAGCTACAGCCAAATAAATCTACAGCTGTAAAACTGATGTTTAATTCAGCATACTACCAAATATTTAAAAATCTTATTTTACTTGTGTTGATTTAATGGGAAGAAAAAATAACGATATCACAAAAAGCAGCCATCTTCAAGGATTTCTCATACAAAGACAGGCCAATACATTCATGCCTGCTTATCTTCTTAAGTTAGATAAGAATCCCGTTCTAAATATAATTTATTTCTATTTGAGCCTTAATTATACAAATGAACAAATGATACTTTTTGCTGACCCAGCCAGTGACCTGGTCAGTGTGAGGTCACTCAGGGACTTGTGAGATCTATAACACATTTCACTGCAGAAGACTTGCATGTGCACTGACAAACTTACTGGACAAAATGAAGACAATAATTCTGAAATCATGAGGACATCACAGCATTAATAAAACTTCCAGGATGAAGTTTTCACCATGCCTGGATTTCGGTTATTTTTTTTCCAGCTGCAATACTAAAATATCTCCAGCTAACCTTAAGCACCTAGGAAGTAAATGTGACGAAAGCCTGACTTCAGCCAAACCAACATAAGCAAAGGTTAATGCAGTTCACGTACATGTATGTTTATCTTGACAGTTTAAACTAGTTAAAATTATGTAGCTTTATGAACAGTGATAATCCACAGCACTTTCAGAGAAGATCAGTATGAGCAGCTCAGCAATGCAGAACTGCTTGCAACCTCACTTTTAAGACTTGGGTGCATTAAAAAAAAGCATGGCCCAGCCCAGGCCCATGATGGTACTGGCCTTCTATGACCGTGTCACTGCCTCAATGGATAAGGGAAGAGCCACCAATGTCATGTAAGGCCTTTGACATGGTACCCCGCAACATCCTTATCTCCAAATTGGAAAGAGATGGATTTGAAGGGTGGACTGTTCAATGGACAAAGAACTGGCTGCAGGATTGACTGCAAAGAATGGTGGTCAATGGCTCAGTGTCTGGATGGAGATTAGTGACCAGTGGTGTCCCCCCAGGGGTCTGTGCTGGGTCTGATACTCATTAATGTCTTCACCAGTGACACTGGGATTGAATGCACCCTCAACAAATTAGCTGATGACACCCAAGCTGTGGAATGCAGTTTACACACGAGAGAGATAGGATGCCATCCAGAAGGACCTAGTCAGGCTTGAACAGTGGGCCCAGGTGAACCTCTTGACTGCAAGGTCTTGCATCTGGGTCAGGGCAACCCTCACTATCAAAACAAGCTGGGGGATGAAAGGATTGAATGCAACTCTGCAGAAGAAGACCTGGGGGTACTGATGGATGGGAAGCTGAACATGAGCCAGCAATGTGCCCTTGCAGCCCAGAAAGCCAACCGTATCCTGGGCTGCAAAAAAAGAAGCGTGGCCAGCAGGGAGAGGGAGGTGATCCTGTCCCTCCACTCTGCATTGGTAAAGCCTCACCTCGAGTGCTGCATCCAGATGTGGAGTCCTCAGTACAGGAGAGACACAGACATGCTGGAGTGTGGCCAGAGGAGGACCACAAAAAATGATCCAAAGGATGGAACATCTCTCCTACAAGGCCAGGCTGAGAGAGCTGGGGCTGTTCAACCTAGAGAAGAGAAGGTTCTGAGGGGACCTGATACTGGCCTTTCGGTATCTAAAGAGAAGCTACAGGGACGATGGAGACAGACTCTATAGCATATTAACAAAAAGCAACCAAAAATCCTTTTTCGTTTTTTTTTTTTGTCTCGTGTAGTATGCAAGTCTGAAGATAGCAGAAATCCATCTTATCACCTTGACTGCCTTCTACCTGAAAATACCTGTTGATGGGTCCAGTTCTCAGGCAAATACGTAAGTAAGTAACACAGTGTGCTAAGTGATCCAACTTCTGCACACACTACAGAGAAACACGCCAGAACTTACCCCAGGCCACAACCTACCCTAAACACTACCCAAGCCAGACAGCTGAATGCTGTGTGGATCATAGAATCGCTCAGGTTGGAAAAGACCTTAAAGATCATCCAACCGCAGAGTCCAACCGCAACCTAACCCTACCGCCCTAAGTAACAACCCTAAATCATGTCCCCGAGCACGGCATCCAAACGGCTTTTAAACACATCCAGGGATGGTGACTCAACCGCCTCCCTGGTGAGCCTATTCCAGAGCTTAACAACGCTTTCTGTAAAGAAGTTTTTCCTGACATCCAACCTAAGCTTACCCTGGCGCAACTTAAGGCCACAAAGCAATAGCTGAAAGCACCGCCGCAAACGCCACAGCCGCGCTGCCCCAGGCCCGCTCCCACCCGACTCACGCAGACAGCGATGCGGAGCACGCCGTGCCGGTAGTCGCGGTAGAGCTCCGCCGCTTCCTTACTGCACTCCACGCATCGGTAGTCGCCCCGCTCCGCCATCGCACGCCAAAGCACGGCCCGCCCAGCGGCACTTCCAACCGCCTCGTTTCCGCGTTCAGAAACGAAAGAAGGACGGTCCCTCGCGCGGTGCATACCGGGAGTTGAGGTTTTCTCCCGCCCCTCGGCAGTGAGGCAGCGCAGCGGCAGGACTCCATACCCCACCGGGCAGCGCGGCGACTTTCTGCTCCGCCCCCCATCTCCTCCCGCGGGAGGCGCTCTTCTCCCCGGGCGCGGTGTGGGAGCGGTGCGCATGCGCCGCGCGAAGATGGCAGCTGCCGGCGGACTCGGCTCCGCGAGGGGGTTGTGGGCGCTGCTGTTAGTGCTGGCCCTGGCCCGGATCGCGGTGCCTCTGACCGAGCAGTACCCGACCCTGTCTCTGCTCAAGCAGGAGCTGCACCAACAGCGCCAGGGTCTGGCGGGGGGCTGCGCCTCGGCGGGCGAGTGGGCAGAGCAGTACTCGGCGGAGTGCGGTGAGTCGGCTAAGCGGCCGTCAGCCCGGGGCTCCGCGCGGCCCTGCGGGCACGGATTGGGGCGGAGTGGAGCCGCCGGCCGGCTGCTGTGCGGGGGCTGCCCGCGCTGCGGGGCCTGCTGGTTCTGGGCTGTGTGTGTACAGGGTCGAGAGTCCCCGTACAGAAATGCTAGATCAGGGTAGCGAAAGCTTCTCGGCTGAACTCAGCCCCTGCTCGCTTCACGCTTCAGTACAGACCCGAAAAGACTTTCACCCAGTGCTAAGGTGAAATCAGTGTCAGGTGTGAGTTAATAAACAGCAAAGTGTTTTATGGCCTTTCTTGTCCTAGTGAGGCACAGCTGATTGGCTGCGTTGGCAGTGTGTGTGGAAGGTTGGGGTTCGATTTGGTGGAAGGTGTTCTTTTAAAGAGCTTGGAGTAACTGGGATCCATCCCTGGTGCTCTGCTTCAATCATCAACTGCATTTGCTTTTGATATTTACTGGTAATCACATAGCTGGCAATTAAAAACCAGCACGGTAACCCTGAGATAGCAAGGATTGGGCTGGTACACAGCTATTTAAATCTTACTGCTGAATGAATAGCCAGTTTAAAAGTTCCCTTAAGCTTTCATCTGTTGCTTTAGTTCTCCTTTCCCAGAAGCTGAGAACCTTGTTGTCTCACAGCATTTCTCTTGCAGCCACCACAAGATCTGGGCTACTTTCTTTGCTGTTTGTGCTTTAGGTTGTCAAGAAGCAATGTTGTACAGCTGTGAGTGTACCTAACCTAACAGGGGTGGAAAGGTCTTTTCCCCCTATGCATCATGAAGATAGACTGTTATTATGCTCTGCCACCTCATTCAGAAATTCTTTCACTAAATGTTCACTGCTATACAGAAAACGGTTCTGGTGGTCGTAAGCCACATCTCCATCTTTTCATTTTGACTTGAGAAACTAAGTTTGCTCAGCAGGCCTGATGGATGGCTGCTAGCTGTCACTGACTTAGTGACAGCACCGATATGGCGCAACTCACATGTTAATGATGCTGCTGCTGCCTATGGCATGGGAGAGGAAAGTTCTGAGCAACATTAAGGATAGGGCACAGCTGAAACCTCCCAGCAGCAATGCTTTCGTTCTGGAAACTATGTATCGTGAGCCGCTGTTCTTACAGGGCTTCCCAGCTTTAAACTTTGACCTTCTGCTTTTCACTAGTCCTGCCTCTGTTGTGTGGCTCAGCTTAGTTCCAAGTTTCTCTTTACAGGGGTTGACTTTATATACTACTTAACTTCCTTATGAGAAGCTGTTGCTTTTTTTTCTTTGGTCTATGTTTGAGAGAAACGGGGAGTTAGCTTACTGCAGGCTGAGACCTCCATCAAAATCCATGTATAGCGCTTCTTCCAGAAGTTAATGCAAACACTCTCTCCCCATTACCTTTCAAACTTACTGCTACTACTCTTTTTTTAAATGTAATATCTGGTACTTGTGGTACAGAATGAAAGAGATAATACTGTCTGCTTGCTTTTTCTTGTTTGCTTTTGCAGCTTTTGAAACTTGTGTTTCAAGTTGGTAGAAGCTTTAGGATCTGAACACTGAAAAGCTAAATTCTTTTGGGATAGCAGTAAAAGCACCACGTAGATCAGATAGTGACTTCAGTGTGGGCTTTTGTTAATTTGTTTCTGGTTTTGTTGTTGCTGTTGCTGTATGCTTTGTTAGTCTCTTTCTTTGCTGTCTTGAGCTGTGTTTGGCTTTCTCTCATTTCTAGGATAGAGTCAATCTTGGGCTTTCTGTAGTGGCATCCTTAGTAATATTTGTGAAAGACTTTCTGTATGTTTAGTTTGTTGCTATTTGCTATATTTTTCTCTACTTTCTGTAGTCTTCATTTTGTCTGCTACCTGGATTTCTAGCAGCAGATCTTTCTCTACCTCTTTTCCATTTATCTTCCTCTGTAGAATTGGAATGATGAGTTGAGCTTCAATTTCTTGGACGAGAGATCAGCATCACCATATCAAAGGGGAGTACATCTACTGATTCCAGTTTTTTTCCCTTTTATTCCTCACCTAACTTTTAAACTTGTTTTTCCCCCGTGTATTTTTAGTCAATAGCACGAACAGAGTAGTGAATGTGAGGAAACATAGTAGTGAAACATGTGTGACTTCTTCAGGTATTAATTATCACTCTTTTCCCCTAGATTCATCATTTTTGCACTTCCAGGAATCAGACTGTGACTTAAGAAGCTCTTCATCTTGTGAGTCCTTGCTTTCTCTCAACACAGAAAAAATTCTGGTATGCTATCAAAAATATGACGTGTACAAAACAAATCTAAATAGACTGTTGAACTGCCTTGAACTACAGAACTAGTTTGAATTAATTTCAGTCAAATAGCTGTAAGTAAAATGTGTTAATCAGTAGACATATGTCCCCAAAAGCTCAAGTATGAATCAACTAAAGTTGGTTGTGAAAGAATGGCTCCACAGTACTCCATCATAAGTCTCTAGGGTTCCCAGCAGTTTATACTTACTGAATTTGGTCGGATCTGTCCAGTTCAGGAGTACCAGCAGTTCTTTCTAAGGCAATTAAATATATATTAATTTGTTATAAGTTTCCTTGTTTCAAAAGTATTTTTTGAGTGTACTTTTTTGTTTTTTTGTTTGTTTAAAGAGATCAAGAATACGTTTAATTTGAAGCTGATGCAGTGATAAATTCTCAGTTGCTTCTCGAAGGCAGAATGGCTTGTAGTTTTTTTGCATGTAGAGCTGCAGGATATCTAACTAGTGACTGGATTCAGAATTTGTGTGTATCACCTTCACGTTCTGAGGAGTTAAATACCAAAAATAACTTTCTGGAAATTGCCTTTGGACAAATGATGATGCAAAAAGATTGGTTTTGGAGGTCTGTGGTTTGTAAATATTTGTGCAATGTAGATTGGTATACCTGTTGAGCCCTGCTTATTCTTCTGTTCTACTTAATTATTTTTAATTAATGACAAAAGAACTATCCCGTTCCATTTTACTGAGTAGGGTGTCAATTCTCTACATTACATCTGAGCTCACACATCATTTCTAGTTTCAACAAAATCAATTGTTAAGAAAAAACATGGTTTGCTAATCTTAAAATGTTGTTTAAAGCTCTGAATTTGAAACGTGGACTATGCTTTCTTCTCATTAGGTATACAGAGCAGAAAGTGTTCTTTTGATTTAGGATGGTTACTTTCACACCTGTAGGTCACTGTAATACCTGTCATGCTGTCATGGGTACAAGTGATAGGACTTCTTTTGATTGAAGGAGACAAAAAAAAAAAAAAAGGGAGGAAGACAAAGTGCAGTCTTCTCAGAGATGAAGATAACAATGTTCTCTGAAGTTTAAAGTGTTAGACTGTTAGACTATCTTCTGTAAAGTAGAATATGCAGAGATGCACAGTTTACCTAAAGCAAAAGATCTGAACTTTGAGAGAAATTCAGTTTTCCATTCTTACATCTTAGGACAGTTTTGAAGGCTTTTATTTAATAAGCATTTTGAATTTTCTTAACATGTACTCCTCTGGTAGGCTTGCAGCTATCTGTGGAATACA